CCTGCGTATGCATGCGCGATCCCCCCACTGCCCCCTTACTTGCACTGCACATGCGTGCACCTCCCAGCTGATTTTCAGGCCTTTTTTGGCCTCCCAGAGGCTCAAGGGAAGCCTCTGCAGCCTTTGGAGGCCGAAAAATGGGCCCGTTTCATCACTTCCGGTATTTCTGGAAATACAGGAAGTGACAAAACGGGCCTGTTTTTCCACCTCCAATGGCTGCAGAGGCTTCCCTCGAGCCTCTGGGAGGCCGAAAGAGGCCCGAAAATCAACCGGGAGGCCCACACATGCGCAGTGAGGTAAGTTTGCCAGGGGCTCACTTGCCCGCACAAATGGCTCTGCGTGCCACCTGTGACATGCGTGCCATAGGTTCGCCATCACGGCCGTATACCCTCCTTTCCCAACAACCTGTCAAATGGTCGTCCAATGTATTTTTGGAAAACCTCCAGTGATGGAACACCCACAACTCTGGGAGACGAGCTGTTCCACTGATTCATTTATTCTCCCTGCAGAAAATTCTCCCTGTCATAAAAATTGTCCTGGAACTCTCTTTTAACAAGCTTCCACGCATTACTTCTTGTTCTGCCCTCTGGTGCTTTAGAGTATAAGTCGATCCCTTCTTCTCTACGACAGGCTAAATATTCCTCCTGCCCCCCCCCAACAGATGTTCTTCTGGCCTCTCCTTCTGGCACATGCTCTGAATCTTTGTCGATCCCTTTTTTGGCTGTACTTGTGTACCTTAGCCAGTTATCCTTTGGGTGAGGCCTCTGATTGCCTCACGATCTATTGTTGGGAAAAGATTTAGTTTCCATGGAACCTTTTATCTTCCTGAAAAAGATATGGGTGTGCTTGTGGGTAGGAGAACCACAATCCTATTTTGAAACATTTTACAGGGCACACAGGGTTAGGTAAGGTAGAGGTGAGCAGATTGTAAAGAATGAATCCATGGGGAAATTAAAAGAAGATGGACAATGATAATCACACTAAAAGTTGCAGTTGATACTACCCAAAAGTGCTGTTTTGAGAGGCAACTGGACTTTCTTGTTTTTTTCTTTTAAAGACGTTTCACTTCTCATCCAAGAAGCTTCTTCAGCCCCGACAAGATAGTGGGGGAATGGAAGGATTTATATTGTTGATACTACAAATGAATGGGTTGATCAGCTTTCGACTTGGCCCTTACTGCACCCGATTTCTGAAAATGATGCTGTTCTGTAATTCTTCTGGTGGCTAGCATTAATAGATACTGAATGTCAGCTCTACAGTTAGCCTATCACACAACAATAAAGAATTATTTCAATATATTTATTTTGCATACAAATTAAGTAGTTCTCAACTTACAACAGTTCGTTTAGTGACTGAAGTTACAACAGCCCTAAAAAAATGACTTAGGACGGTTTTTCACACTTATGGCCGTTGTGGCATTTCCCTGATCATGTGATCAAGATTCAGACACTATTTAGAACAGTTGCAGTGTCCCGAGGTCATATGATCAGCTTTTGCGACCTTCGGACAAGCAAAGTCAACGGGGAAGCCAGATTCACTTAACAGCCATGTTAACTAACTTAACAACTGCAGTGATTTATTTAACAACTCTGGCAAGAAAGATCGCAAAATGGGGCAACGCTTACTTAGCAACTGTCTCACTCAGCAGCAGAACTGTTGGGCTCCATTGTGGTCGTACATTGAGGACTCCCTCTAATAAAATCAAAACGTTTTCATAATGCCTCTTAATGAATAAATAGTCATCGTTAAAAGCACAGGGCCGGTTTATCTGCAGAGCACTTTTTATTAAGGACATCTTCCCTTCCTACCAGGTCAGATGGGATGGTCATGCTTCTAGTGTCCAACCTTGGCAACTTTAAGACTTGTGGACTTCAACTCCCTACCAGGTCAGATGGGATGGTCATGCTTCTAGTGTCCAACCTTGGCAACTTTAAGACTTGTGGACTTCAACTCCCAGAATTCCTCAGCCAGCAAAGCTGGCTGAGGAATTCTGGGAGTTGAAGTCCACAAGTCTTAAAGTTGCCAAGGTTGGACACCCCTGCTCTAAATATTGCCATCTGGTGGGACCTAGGAAGCAGTGCCTTTTCCGTAGTAGCCCCTGCCCTATGGAACACTCTGCCCCCTAAAGTTTGGCGGGCATCTACCCCCCTAGTCTTCCATAAAATCTTGAAGGACCCGGCTTTCCCCCCAAGTGCTTGGGATGAGATTGATGACTGTATGTCAGAAGCTTGACTTGGTACCAGTGTTTTGTTTTTAATGAGTTTGGTCTTAATAGGGTTTCAATGTTTTAATTTTTGATTAGGAGCCACCCAGAGTTTGTTATAAGACGGCAGATATAGAAATGCTTTAAATAAATAATAGAAACATTCCTACTAATGAACCAATTGTACAAAAGAATTTTGGATTGTTATTAAAAACTTGCATGCAAAAAGCCCATTATAGAGGCTTTTATTGATTGTTTCATACAATTTAGAAGCCGCTCATTCCCAAATGACTCTGGGCTACTTAGACTTTTTAAAAGCAAGAAACATAAAGGAACAGATCATCACTCAGAAGAAGAACCATACAGAAAGCAATAAAACTGACAGAAGTTTGACAACCCACCCTATTCCAGGGCCTGGGATAAATGTATTTGTATATTTGTGTATTTATTTGTATCCCATCTTTTTATTATTACTTTTTTACAAACATCCCACCGGCTTTCTAATTTCCTCACAACGACAACCCTGTGATGTGAATTGGGCTGAGAGTAATTTGTCCAAGGTTGCCCAATTGGCTTTCATGACTAAGAAGGGACTTGAACTCATGGTCTGCTGCTTTCTAGCCTGGTGCCTTTCAAAGTTTTTCTGAAAATCAAGGTGGGAGCCATATAGATCACTGGGAAGATATCATACCTTTGAGCAAATCCAGAAAAGACATACAGGTAATCCTCAACTTACAACTAGTTACTTAGGGACTGTGATGACTCCCTTGGGCGCTTCCCCAGACACCTCTCCAGATGTCAGCTTGGAAGATGAACTGGTTCAGGGCACATCAAGAGGGGAGTTGGTCAATGGCTCTGAGCAGCCATGTGAGAGAGATTTGGCTGGAGCAGAGCTGTATCAGGACAGCCCTGAGGCTTCAGGTGGGGAAAGCATGCAGCTGCAGCTGATTAGTGATGAGGAAGAGGAACTGCCTTCTGTACTGATCTAAGAACATGTAGGGAAAAGGCAGGAGCAGTGAAGGTCAGCCAGATTGCTTGCAAGGAGGCAGCCTTGTCCTTGGTGAGCTGTACCAAAAATTAACTATTTAGCATAGTAGACAGATGGAAGTGATGCTGGGAGCAATGTGTTTGTTTTCTTGTTGTGTGTTCTTGCCTTGAACTTTAGATGGTGTCTCTTCAGCTGTTTTACCTGTGGGTTTGCCTTTGTCTTGGAACTTGTCTTTGCCTTGGGAACTTCCTTTTGCCTGGTTACTGTACTTGCCTTTGCCTTGAGGACTAGTGTTGGCTTCATTTGAGTAGCCTGTGGAACTCATTGGGGTTGAATTGGTGCTGGCACAGGGAATTGCTGGGGAATACCAATTCAGGCTCAGAAGCCTTAATAAAGTCTCCTTACACCTGAGGTGTGTGTGTGTGAGAGAGTGGGATAGCACATGGACTCCCAAAAGGTACTGAAGACCCAATTCTGAAATTGTGATGGCCCCCTGCAGTCCTGAGACCTGCATTTATGGCTATTTGCAACATCCCACGGTCATGTGACTGACCTGTGACATTTTTGCAGAAAGCCAACATTTACTTCCTCTTTTTGATTTTGATTTTATGCCCCTATTTATACAAGCAAGGATTGTATTAGCTTTTTTGACTGCTGTTGCACACTGCTGGCTCATATTTAAGCGATATTTTAGCCAGCCTATTCCATGATGAGCTTTATAGGGAATGACGTGCACCTTGAATTGCACCAGAAAGCCAACTGGCGAGCATTGGAGTTTGCACAGCACTGTGGTCACATGGATGTAGCAAAGCATTCCTTTTACTGCATGTGCTGTGGTTCATATACTCCATTATTCTGTAAATAGAATCATTAGAAATATCTCACTTGTTTGCCGATCTAACAAAAAATAAGATTTGACAGCTAAACTAACATTATGATCACAAGTTCCACTTTTTTTTACAACCCGATTGTGCTCAAGGTTAACTTTTAAAAATATCCTAGCTGTTTTTTATGTTTCAATACACCGTTTTCCTATGTTTTAACATTACCGGTAGTCCTTGGCTTATGGCCACACATGAGCCCAAAATGTATGTAGCTAAGTGAGCAATTCGTTAGGTAAGTTTTGCCCCATTTTACGACTTTTCCTGCCACGTTTGTGAAGTGAATCACTGCACTTGTTAAGTTAGTAACACTGTTGTTGAATGAATCTGGCTCTCCCATTGACTTGGCTTGTCAGAAGGTCACAAAAGGGGATCACATGTCCCTGGGATACTGCAACCATCATAAATATGAACCAGTTGTCAAGCATCCAAATGTAAATCACATGACCATGGGGATGCTACAATGGTCATAAGTGTGAAAAAAGGTCATAAGTCACCTGTTTCAATGCCAGTGTAACTTCGAATGGTCACTAAATGAACTGTTGTAAGTTGAGGACTACCTGTATTAAATTCCCAGAGCAGTAGTCTAAAAACTCATCTCACTCTCCATGACTGAGGTGGAAGAACAGAATTTGCTAAGTTTTAATTCCTCAATTTTGTGCTGAAGTTTTCTTTTTAAATTCCTTAGTTTGAGAAGGCTGATTTAGACAAAACCTGGCAAAGAGATGTCGCAAATCAAAGTAGTCTGCGTGCTGAAATGGTTTTAATTTATTTTATGAAGTTGCCCAATGTAATTACATTGTAGAAATTTCATATGAACTAATTACATTGGGTAACTGCATGAAACAAATTAGGGCTGGGTCTTTGAGATAACCCAGATATAAATAAAGAACATTACTTATTTTTATTTTTCCTCCTCTCTCTACAGGACATCTGGAGCTATTTTGCTTTCATTGAAAACGTGTTCACATCAATAACAACTATGCATTAATGAGATACTGAAGGGAGAGAAAGACCAACTAAAAGAATGAATAGTGAAGAGGAATTTTATGATGCTGTCACAGGTAAGTTAACACAGCATAAAGTCAAAATTGATAAGAAACCAGGATCCTGTGTTTCTGTCTTGTGGGGCCTATAACATCTGCTGGATTCCCCCCTTGTCTATTCCTTATGCCTTCAAACTTTTTCTTTCAACAAAACAAACCTCTCTCATCGCATAAGGCAGAGGTCTCCAAACTTGGCAACTTTAAGACTTGTGGACTTCAACTCCCAGAATTGAAGTCCACAAGTCTTAAAGTTGCCAAGTTTGGGGACCCCTGGCATAAGGCCTTGATAGGAGCCTAGTGGAGGAGCAGAACCACCATGATCTCATCACCATACCTCCTGCTCCTGAGTCAACCAATGCTTTAGCAGCAGCCTTAGTGAAAGAAGAGCCCTTGGAGGTCCTAGTAGCCTGCTGTCCTCTCTCTATTGCTCTTCCTACTAGCGAAAGAACCCAGAATGAACGAGGTGCTCAGGGAAAGGGGTACCAGTTTATCAAGCGCAAAAAAAACAACACCCAGGGTCACATGTGAAGGTCCAATTTAACTGATTTCTTGCCAAACAGAATCTTCTCAACTGATAGTTAGTACCTGCTTGGAGTCAGATAGGAATCTACAGAATTGAAGGGGGACTTGTAGCTATGTAGGGATTCTAGGCTGATTCCTCTTTTAACTCCATCTCCCAGATTCTGCCACTCCTTTTCTTATAGTGCTTTGATTATTCCCAGGTTTGTCTGAAACGGTTTAGGGTCTCCTGCTTGAGGCGATCTCCAGGTCTCTCCCAACTGTTATTCTGCTTGTTTTGCAAATTGTTAGGCAATTATTTTTGCTTAGGAAATTTCCTTCCTTCCTTCCTTCCTTCCTTCCTTCCTTCCTTCCTTCCTTCCTCCCTTCCTTCCTTCCTTCCTTCCTTCCTTCCTTCCTTCCTTCTTTCTTTCTGATGAAAAAGGAGATAAAAGCAAATTCTCGGAACCTCATGGCATTCATTCTTAAATACCTCAATTTAGTACCCTAAACTCTTAACATGATTAATGTTAACTTTGTAACCTTGCCCCTCCCAGGCTGTTTCACACATTACTAGTTTTCTATACAGATAAAAATATTATTTTGTAAATGAGGTTCAATTATAATACAGTTAATTCTCTCTCCTTCCCTCTCCCTCTCTCTCTTGAAATCTATTGCATGTCAGATTATGAAGATGAGTGTTCTTGTTGCTTTCTCACATGGTCTAATAACAGACTAAGTGCTCCTGTGCTGACGAAAATAAACCAGAAAAAGATGCACCGAAAACAAAAGAAAAAAAAAAACTAGCACTCTTGAACACTTGGTCATGCATTCTTAGAAATACCCACAGCCCAGAATATTTGATGGCCATCCAGAGCCTTGCCGTATTATTTTAGAAAAGCAACATGCAAACATGAAGAATTAATTGGCTCCTTTGGCTTCTTAAAGCTTACATCTTACAAGAAGGCATAACCAGATGGCCCTTTTCTTGTTACCACATTGAAAACTAGGGTCTAATGGTAGTTAAATAGCTATGATGGTGATTAGGGGAAAAGGCAAAAGGCATATTTCGGTTTTAGATAAGCGGTCTCAGAGCTTTGTGAGGGATAGAGGAGAAAACAAAAACTAGAAAAACAGGTGACTGCCGTTTTTAAAACCAATAGGGAATATTAGACCGGTTTGGGAGAGTCAATACACTGGTTACTCTAGATATTTTTTCCTTTGTTTCTCAAAACATATTTCACCCTCATTGAGGCCATGCTAGTACAAACATAGGAGAAAATAGCATTAAGTCCCAACACATTAAAAAAAAGCTATTCCAGAAAAATCTGCAATTAAACTCGTTGAGTTAGCAGCTTTATAAATAGAGACGGCCTTGTTTTAATTACAGAAGAGCATGAAGAGAATGAAGTGCCGTCTGAAGTGGTTTAAAACCCAGGAATAGATTTTGCCACCCTGATAAACTGGTAAAGAGCTGTCTTTTTTATGACACAGCACCTTGGTTTGATTTGTTCTGGCTATTGTTGATTGTATCTCCCTTTCTGTAGAGATTGCATTGACTGAAAATAAAAACAAATTTTGCACTACTGAAATAGCCGGCGTAATAATAATAACGTTGACTTATGTTATTATCTAAAAAACGAATGTGTTAGTGGTATTCTTGACTTTTTGTGGAAACTGTACAATGTGTCAGGATACCCAAATCTTGACACTCTCTGTTGGCATTGTAACATCCTCCATGCCAAGGACTCTTTGTGGAAACTCCTGGTGATGCTGCTGCTGCGTCAAGGCTGCTTTCAAAATGACGTATTTAACTCGGAGGCGTTAATGAAAGAATCCTTCCTTGTTGCGTTGCATCTCTTAATAATCTTGGCTGGGCGGTGTAAACAGGGCAGGGAGAGTTGCCTGCTTGCTTAGAGAACAATTCCTGTGCTTGAGTTTCTAGGTGGAGATTTTTTTCTTCTTCTTCCTCCCGGATTGTTGATCTCAAACTGTGAGCTTTGCTTTGCTAAGAGGTTGAACCTTTCACTCAGGAATTCTTGACAGACAATTGACATTCAGGTTGAAAAACTTTTCCCTTGCGAGAGCAAGAAAGCAGCTTTATTTTCTATTTGCAGTGTTGGTGGTGGTTTTTTCCCCCCTCATATGCCATAAAAACAGATATCACACACACACACACACACACACAGAGAGAGAGAGAGAGAGAGAGAGAGAGAGAGAGAGAAAACAGGTAGTCCCCGACTTACGACCACAACTGAGCCCAAAACTTCTGTTGCTAAGTGAAACATTTGTTAAGTGAATTTTTGCCCCATTTTACGACTTTTTTGATCACCGTTGTTAGGTGAATCACTGCAGTTGTTAAGTGAGTAACAGGATTGTTAAGTGAATCTGGCTGCCCTATTGACTTTGCTTGTCAGAAGGTTGCAAAAGGAGATTACAGGACCCCAGGACACTGCAACTGTCAGAAATATCAATTAGGTGACAAGTGTCTGGTTTTTGATCATGTGACTCTGGGGTTGCTGCGACATTTGTATGAAAAATGGTCATAAGTCACTTTTTTCAGTGCCGTTGTAACTTTGAATGGTCAGTAAATGAACTGTTGTAAGCTGTGGAAATGTTTCCTACAGCCGGAAACGACTAACATATATGTGCGAGGGGAACCTTTACCTTGAAACTGTGGACTGTGTGTGTATGTGTATATACATAACACACACACAGACACACACACACACGCACACACACATATATAATTGGTGTAGAAGTGGTACTTTGAAGCGATTCTTGCTCTACTCTATTTGATCATTTCATCAACATTTCTTTTGCTGTTTATGGACCTCAGTTTATAATAACTATAAGAGTACTACTGCGAGAATCCAATATAAACTGATAATTTCTTCTCTTCCTAAATAGACTTCTGAGTACCTAAAAGTTGAAAATTTGAACTTGCTAGTGGTTTAACAGTACAATAGTTTCCAACTTCTCTAATAAAAGTTGCATGCAAAATACTCTCGTGTCATTTTTCTTATTGCTGAATTCCATATTTCATTCTGGATTGTTGCTTAGTAATAACATGGCATTTATATAAAAGTTCTTATAGAAAACATAGCTATACTCCAGGATTCAGAACCACTAGATCTGGAAGTGGCCAACAGCTAAGATAGTTTTGAAGGGTCAGCTTGAATAATTCATGAATGCTGTTAGTTTAGATAACTGCATCTCCAGTACCATAAAAACATGATTTCTGAATGTTTCTGTCCAACCATAGAGTTCTAGTCTAGGTTGGCTCTTATCTTCTCAAGTGCTTGTGAAAAACATGTTCATGTATATAACATATGGAAACAAATGATTAGGTCAAAGAACTGGCCATGTTTTTCTTGGGTTGCAGTTGATAGGGCTTGGTGAATTACATTCTACTAAGCACATTAATTTGTAAGAAATATACTGATTTGTTTATTTATTTGGCTTTGAACTACTGTAGAAATTACTAAAAGAATATGTAATTGCAAATTATTAGTATTAGTATATTATTAGTATTAGTATATTGTGTGTGAGTAAGTTATATATTTTTTGCCTTAAGTATGTTCAACTGTAAGGGTCAACTTTCCAGAAGGATTTTGACAAACTGAAAAAAACTTTGGATTCTGATGTTGTTTAAACTAAAGGCCATATCTGCAAATACAATAGGCTATGATTTTTAATGTTACAGATACTGCACTTATAAGTCTTTTCTCATGTGCCTTTTACTTTCCTCAATGTCAGAAGAGCATGGACTATTTGTTTAACATAATCTTTAACTGTTTATTGTTATAGCACATATATTTTATAATTTATGATATACATAGCCTTTAGAGAAACAGATCTTTTTTCCCCCTAGTTCTGTGTAGCTCCTTTGTTAGTTACCGTACTCTAAAATATTTGTGATTAAAAATAAAACTCCATCACCTTGCCCCTTGGCTTTTATGTGGCATTTAAATATAAGTTACTTCATTTCAAAGGGTAGTCTCATTCCTTTTATAATGTACTATGATGACTCAGGCCGGCTCACCTTCCTGAATCACTTGGAGGTGGAGCTTAGTCAAATGAGGTCTGCTGTTACTTTTCAAGATGTGGAAGAAGAAGAAGACTTCTAAAAACAAGCTTGCTCGTAAGTCACCATTTCTCCCCTTGTTTTTAATACCAAAGACACCATTCTTACAATCTGCGGAAGCACATTCAACTCAATTCTGAGTGGATTATGCTGTGGAGTGTTTGCTGTTTAAGGAGTTAAAAGGAATGATATTGTTGCTATGGTTGATAAACATCTCAAGAAATCGGATGAGTTCTTGCGTGTTGGCACTCCAACCTTCGGTGGCCATGAAAGCCAAACCTAACCTTGATTGTACTTTTTTTTTTGTTTATGGTTAGATTTTCTCTCTCTTTTGCAAACTTTGCTTTAGGTCTTCTCTTGTTGTTTGAAGTTTGAGATGTGTGAACAGAGAACAGCAATACTGTATTATTTTGATTCAGCTCTTTGAGATGTC